GAAAAAAAACCCTCATAAATAAAATTCAGTGGTGGGTTGTTATCTCACAATTTTGATGTTATTTTCTCATATGTTTGACTTAGTAAGTCGAAATTTTGAATTCGACTTATTTATTTATCTATTGTTAGAAGCTGAAACATATGTAAGCTTTTTCCCCTGTATTGTAAATACAAATTAACGTGAAACCGAGAAAATAGCTTGAAATTTTGAGTTGTAGAGTCATTGTCAGAAGTTTATTATAACAACTGGAAATTTGGCTTATGAATGGCTAATAATAATAATAATAATAATAATAATAATAATAATAATAATAATAATAATAATAAAATTAGAAAACGGAAATAAAACGTCTTTTTGATTTCACCGGATATGACGTCACCCCGGCCTCTTTCCCGTGTCACCGTGAGCTGTGGTAGTCCCTGCCGCTGCTGCTGCCTGTCAACAAGACTTGTGTGTCCGGGTTTTTGTTTTTAATCTTTTGTGACACTCTGTCCTCCACCACCATGCCCATGTACCAGGTAAAGCCCATCTGTGGGGGTGACATAAAGATTGATTTGCCCACCTGCATGTACAAGGTACCAAATATCCACGCGCAGCAAGGAAAAAGCTGCACCCCCGAACACGCGCTTCAGGTAACTAATCACATTTCGAAGTTATAATTTTATTCTTTGTATTATCATCATCATCATTATTATTATTATTATTATTATTATTATGATTATGATTATTAACTCTTTCGTTTGGGCTATGCTCCTCTCCCTGTTCGTTGTTTCCATTCATAGTTGCGCTTCTCGGACGCGATATTAGCTGGAGCTGTCTGTAGCCGAGCTAGCTAACTTAGCTTGTCAGGGAGTAATCTCAGTTTTAGGCTGATGCAACAACTACAGCGTGTCTCCGCTGTTTTACATCAAGATTATTAAACGGCATACAGTAGTGAAACGGTTCGGTTAGCTTGTCTCCAGTCTGTGACATTGTTTTTAATGTAATCGATCAGGATTGTGTCTTGATTTGAGACCATTCTTCATTTGTGGGGGTGCACCGACTGTACTGTTTCATCTGCAAGTTCATGACACTGTATTGGGGAAATTGCAGCAGTCACGTTTGGTTACAAACTTAATGTTATCATAGATGTAATTATCTCATCGTTATAGACTTAACTAGGCAGCTATATACCAGCAAGTAATATTGAACCCATATTTACGTGTTACTGAATAGTCATCTTAATTAGAGATTTTTCATTTTAATTAATTTTACTGTTGGTTAATTATAGATTTTTCTTGTTTGATCATCATGAAGGCATGCTATTTCAGTGGCTGGACCAGTTTAGATCCAAAATGGCCAATAGAAGCAGCTGTAAACCCCCCATGCTTTGATAGTGTAATATTTTTGCTTTCACTTTCAGCATCTGCAGTGGAGCATAAACGATTCTGTTGATTCATGACTCACAGCATGGCTTTCATGAATGTATAGCATGTTTTCTTTGCACATTTCAATGATGTTTATGTGATGAGATTGAGGCCATGAAGAGAATTTGAACTTCATCTGTCCTTAGAGATTTCTGGTGTTATGCATTAACATATAAACTTGTAGTCAGACTTCAGATAGATGTGTAGTCTTTGTGTATCTTGAAAATAGCTGACTGAGTAACCACTCAGCTCTGTTGACCTCTGCAGAGCTGAGTCACCACAACATTTTGATTGTAAAACTGATCAAAATTTAGTTTAAAAACAAAAAATTAAGCATACTAAAAGTATAGCAAATTATGAGCCATTTTTTTCCTACTTTTTTTTTTGTCAAAGCAGCTGTTAGTAATTACTACATGGAATGACATAGGAGCTTCAAATTGGTACCATAGGTGTGCCTCATAGGAGGATAAGGGGTAGTCGCCAGTATTTTTTTGCTTTACATTAGTCATTCATGTGACTTGTGTGGTTTAAGCCAGATTCAGTGTTGTTGTTTTTTTTTTTCTGTGTTGCTTCAGAATGGCGAGGTGGACCCAGCCGTCAAAGCTCTGGAGGCCCGGCAGGATGAGATCATGAGAAAACTCTATGAGCTGAAAGCAGCTGTGGAGGGCTTGGCCAAGACGGTGATGACCCCTGATGCCGATCTGGACCTGACAGTCAGCAGCAGCCTCTCCTCCCAGTGCTCCACAACCTTCAAAAACACCACAGACCTGGACACAGTACTGGGCAAGGTATAAAAAAAAATCTTTTTTTGTCTTTTGTTTGTCGCTACTGGTAACATTTCTTTCAAACTACTCACTGGCAGTAATTTTAACTGAATGCTTTACTGTTACTGCCTTTTCTTGCCAGTAGTAGTAATCTCTTATCCATCTTCCTGATCACATCTCCTCTGTCATTCCAGGTTTTTATACTGTTAACCTGCTCAACCTGGCTATAATTGAGTTTACCTTTTAAGCCTACCTTAGGGTATAGACTGAATATTAGCTGTATGTGCAGGCTGTAGTGGTGTCATAATAGCAGAGCCTATCTTTATGTGACCAGGATCTCGGTGCTCTCCGTGATATCGTCATAAACGCCAACCCGGTGCAGCCACCCCTGACCTTGCTGGTGCTCCACAGCCTGCTCTGTCAGCACTATCGAGTGCTCTCCACTGTCCACGTCCACTCCTCTGTTGCCAGTGTGCCACCACAGCTTCTGTCCTGCCTCGGACCACGGCACACAGACAGCTACGCCCGCCACATGTTTCAGCTGGGCTTCACCCTCATATGGAAAGATGGTGAGGTCACCTGGGCACTTTTGCACATTAGGCTTGTTCTGAGTGTCAGATTTGAACAGTCACACATGCTTGAGGATGTTTTTCTGGTTTCTTCCAAAGAATCAGTTTAGAAATCCTACTTAGAAGTTCTAGAAAGTCAAGAACCTAAAACAGTAGTAGTCATATGTTCATTGTACATGGCCCTGTGTCCTTGCTCACTTTAATGTGCTGGTGCAAGGCAGTGCTGATACAGTTTAATTTGGATGTAATGTCTTGTGAAAGTATGTGGGTGGCTTGTTTCATAGAATTCTAGTTTTTCTAATACTATGAAACCAATTATCATACCATAACCACGTCAGGGTATTTTTAAAACAAACAAAAACAACTGCAATCAGACATAGTCTTCTGAGTAGGCGTTCAGCTACTTTATTCTTTAGTGTATAATTAGGAAGCAATGCTTCATTTATGAGATGCAGATAATGAATTCATTATCAAAAACAAAAACACCTCAGTTTTCTAATGCAGTGAAGTCTGGGAATGCTGCACGCCCATATTGTGACTTACCATCAACATACTTTGCTGTTTTGTATATTTGACTCTTTACTTGAACTAGAAAAATTAGAAGCATGTCCTATTAAAACAAAAATTGTACCCATAAATCTATCAGGAAAGTGTTTACTGAGGTCAAAGATCCAGTGAGTAGTTGAGTTTTGTTCCCACAGACTCTTTTCATAGAATCTTTTTATACAGCCGCCCCCTCCTGGTCATTAGAAAGAATGTGGGTTTATGGCACTTAAGTGTTGGTTTCACTTTTTAGACCCATGCCCTACAAAAGCAGATGTTTTAATCTTTATATTGACACCATTTGTCTAAAAGTTATGACCTCATTTCTCTTCTGCATCCACAGTTCCTAAACCACAGATGAAGTTTAGCATCAAGAACATGTGTCCCATTGAGGGTGAGGGCAACATAGCACGCTTCCTCTTTAAGCTGCTTGCCCCCTATCCCAGTGACCCCGCTGTTGCTACCCTGGTGGACAGCTGGGTGGATACGGCTTTCTTCCAGCTGGCAGAGGGCAGTGTCAAAGAGCGATCCGCTGTCCTGCGGGCCCTAAACTCAACTCTGGGTTCCAACCCCTGGCTAGCCGGACCAGAGTTCTCCCTGGCTGATGTCGCCTGCTACTGCTGCGTGCTGCAAAGCGGCTCGGCCTCCTCATCTCCGGCTAACGTCCAGCGCTGGATCAAGTCTTGCGAGAACCTGGGCCACTTCAGCCATGCCAAGCTCCTTCTGAAATGACTTGGGCTGTTCCAGGGCCAGACACCAGATGCAAAGTGAGAGAAGGGCATTAGAATAATAAAATATATCCCCACCATGTCTGAAACACCTCCTGATGCTTCCTTCCTTGCTCTAGCGTAACACTGAACTGACACAGATGAAGTAGAAGCACTATGGCAGATGGGTAAAGTGACTCAACGGTATTTATTTTTGCCATGATGCTATAGAGAGATCCTAAAGCTGCATTTTGCGAGGGAGGAAGAATAAGGAGATGGTATGGACAAGGGTTTGGTGATGGGTTCAATCAGTGATACTAACGGAGGTTATTAGACAAACACACACACACACACACTCTACACCTTCCACCCACTTTGTGCCTAACACGACCCTGTTAAAAATGTGTGTGGTGATGGGTATTGCTTGTTGTTTTCAGAAGTAATACTTTGTACCATTCGTGTGTTTTGTTTTTCTGAAATCATTAAAACTTCTACTTTCTACTTCAAACTTTGTGCCCAGGTTTGATTTGTTGCACTGTTTGATCACTTCAAAAACCATTTCACTCCAAGTAGACAAACGGCTGGCATTTACTGAAGTGCACATCTGTGTCTAACAGGTGGCAGGAGTGACATTAAGTGACAGAAGATAATTTTCTAGCATGTCATTCATCAAGCTTATTCAGATGTTTATCATATCCAGTCAAACAGAGGTGCACTGAACCAAAAGGGCGGAAAAAACACACACACAAGAACCCACTTCTTTGCTACAGGAATAGATTCACACCTACTACCAATTTAAAGTCAGCAACTAACCTAAAATGCATGTGTGTGGACTGTGGGATGAAGCTGGCATACCCAGAGAGAACCCCCAAACTCCCAGTATTATGGCCCCTAAACCCTGTATTGATCAGTGCATATTTTGCGTCATCCAACCACATATTAACGATACAGAAGCTGTGATTGAGCCTTTAGTACATTTACACGCTCTTCCTGGGTTCTCTACAGGTACTCCCAGCTTCCTCCTACAGTCTATAAACAAAGACCCCTGAACTCAGTGCAACTCCAGATACTTCTGTTTCATTTTACTTTGCAGCAGCAAAGAATTGTTGCTTTACTCTTTAATCTACACTCCTCCAGCTTGTTCTTTCTCTGCAATCAGTTGTGTAAGCTGTTTTTTCTCCCTATCAGAAGCTGCACTATGGAACAGAATCCCAATTCAGAAGAGAAATAGGTTTTCAGTTTTCAAGTCCGTTTAATCCTCTGTGACTGCTGTAGGCAAACTCACGGAAAATCACTCAGAGAATATATTTAGGAATAATATATCGAAGGGAAAGCAAATCCCAAGGTTTTTCAGGCTCTCTGCGGGCTGGTTTTTGCATTTTCAAAAATGTCAGGTCTTCGACAGCTCGGGTCCAGACAGAGCCTGTGTTTGCATTCTCTGACAGCCTCCTGTTGGTCTCCAGGCAGCTGTCTGACAAGACGAAAGCTCTTAGCTGACATCCGGGCACATGGCAAAGAATACACTGGGGAAATGTGCACCACTGGAATTTCACTGTTTGCATGTTGTGCATCTTCCTCGCACACAAACACACCCGGACGCGTTTGAAAGTGCAATGAGTGTTTGCCGAACGCGTTTGGTGCTGCATGTAAATAAGGCAGCTGATGTCATTCTGTAACTAATCTAATTACTTGTGGCTTGCAATTGGTTTTTATGAAAGGGGGGGGGGAAAAAGGCGAGACACAAACAAACAAAAGGAGCGGGGGGGGGGGTCTCTTCTTGTCGCTTTATATATGATATAAAATACAGACAGGAGATGCATTCTTACTGAACAGCTGTAGAAAAAAAACAAACTGAAAGACAAAAATCACTTCAGTTTAACCCCGTGGCTACATCAAATCACAACAACAGCACAGATAAAGATGCTTTCTGTCAGTCCGAGTGTCAGTGTCTATGATTGTCAATCAGATGTTTTCATTAAGCCATTCTGGAGTGGGAGACATATGCTTTGCCAACCAAAACAGGCAGGGGGGATAAATATTAGAAAGAACATTTGGGCTAAAGTGCCTGAAATGAGATATTGTTCAGTGTTCTCCTGTGATGACTTCAAAACAATATGGTTTGATTTTGTGTCGGTTAAAAGTCTGAGACGGACATCGGTAACCCATTCACTCGCTGACCAGAGAGCACAGGTTGCTGTTGTATCTCAAAAGCTGAATGCGCTCGAAATAGTCGTCAGTCAGAAAGTTTCTCTGTGATGTCACCAGGTTGCCCTTCTGGCTGAAGAGACGCTGGACGGGGGCCGTGGACGGCAGGGTGGTGTTGTATTTTAGGAAGAGCTGCTTCACTCTTGGGAAGTCCTGCAGGCACTCGAGGCTCTTCCCCGTTCCTTCTACATACTTGCGAATCTCCTCCAACACCCCCCGCTGCTGGATCTGGACGGCCGGTTTCACTGAGCCGTAGCTAAAGAAGTCATCCTCAGATTCAATGGTGGACAGGTTGCGGCTGGTGTTCGCCTCGGTTACGGTGCAGGGATCCATCTGGGACGCCTCCGAGGCCAGCAGGGCGCACATCTCCTCCCTCTCGGAGGCCGCCATCCACCACAAGCGAAACTGAGGAGTGGTCGCGGTCGCAATCTTCGCTTCGGTGCTGCCAAACAGCTCCTGGAACCGCACGTCGATAGCCATTACAATGGCGTTGATGGCATCGCCGAAGTATTTTGCGGCATCCTTCTGCTCATTTAGCTTGTTCTTCAGACTGAGTACGGTTGGGATGACCAGGCCCAGGTAGCATTTCTGCTCCGCCTGGAAAAGTTCGAGTGCAAATGCGAGCGGGTGAAACACAGTCACATATTCCTTCAAGAAGGCCATCTCCTCCGGCTGAAAGCGTGGGACCTCGAGGCGAGCGCAGAGCTCCGTCAGCTCCCGCTCGCTGAGAGAGACAATCTTCTGCACGGCACAGTACTCTACGTTCCAGCGTATAACGGTGGGGACGACGAGTGCCATCTTCCCTATCTCCTCTGCCGCGTCCATCCCGACCTGGAGATGGTGGCATTTGCTCCATATGGCAAACACTTTAGCCATGGCACTGTAATGTAGCTGGCACATGGGCCCCTGTGACACAGCCTGCCAGAAGTCATCAGTGACGATCTGCTCCAGGGTGTGTGACGCACAGCGCTGCACGGTGGGCAGAAACAGCAGCATGTCCTGCTCCGGCTCACCCTCGAGCACGGTGCTCACGTTCTCGTAGAAACCGATGTCGTCGTCACTTTCTTGGCTGTCCAGCGCAAACTCCCTGAAGACACTGATGAAGGGGCTGCCGTTATCTGTGACTGTTGTCTGAACTTTACTCTCAATATTGTAGGCCACGTGGACGTCGTGTATGCGGCCGGCGATGGTGTCATACGTGATCCTGCCCTGCAGCCGTGCAAAAGCCAGGGCGGCGGATTTCCTCTCCAAAGAATCCATATCGATCCAGTGACAGGTCATCCCAAAGAAGCTCCTGTTGTGGGCTGTCCAGATGTCCGCTGTGGTGCACACATACTGGACGCTGCTGAGCTTAGACATCAACTCTTCCCGCATCTTGGAGAATCCGTGGTCCACCTTAGTAAACAGGGTCACCCTGTCCATGGATTTGAGCCCTTCAGTTAAACCGGCAATCAGCTTCCTGAAGCCAGGCTGCTCCAGCACATAAAATGACTGGCAGTCCTCCACAATGAAGTTGAAGATCAGATCATCGATCTTTGCCTGGGTCAGGCATTTGGAGATGATTTCCGCTTTGAGCTTTTTGAGCTGGCAGTGTCTGCTTTCCTCACCGTTGTATTCCTCTTTTTTCCGTCCTCTCTTGGCATCAGGCCTGGCTTCACAGCCTAAATGTGTTCTCTAGAAAACAAAGAAAGATTTCATGGCAGTTGTTTTTTTTTTCTTTAAACAGACTTTCCCAACATTTTATAAACTTTAATTGCACTGAAAAACACTCCTAAGAACACTTCTGCAGAGTAAAGCGACTGTTTGTGTTTTTTTTTCTTTCCAGAGAAGTTGAGCACTACGAGCCTCCAGCGCCAGTAGCATGCAGCTGCAATGTAACGTTATTAATCACGAGGGTGGCTATTCATTCATTGAGTCTTTTAAACATTAACAAACACTGGAACGGGAAGTTGTACCGGGGCTGTTAGGCTGACTGACTTACGTCTAAATGTTTCTTTAGATTTGAAGTGGAGGTTTTTGACGTGGACAGCAGATTAACCCTCGGCAAGCACAGATTACACTGGACGATGATATTTTTCCCTTGATCTGCCTTGTACGTGAAATGGTGTCGATAACGCCAAGTATTAATGGCCGATTTGGTCTCGCCGCTGGTTTCTTGGTGATCCGCATCCATTTCGAATTCTGTCTCTGTTGTTACTGGTACCTTGAAATATAATAAAAGTATCGTAATCCGATTTAGTAATCGTGATTACACGTAAAGTAACGATGGCGGTAGAGCAATCCTCATGAAAAAGGGGCAGGCCTTTGTTCAGATGCTTCCCAGAAAACGAAGAAGGAGACGACAACACCGTCAGCTAGCTTCCCCACATGCGCTCTGAGAGCAGCAACGGCAAAGAATGGGAACACTGGCGGAAGTACGCATGCGCCATACCCAAACGAGTCCCATCAGAGTGTCGTCACTGTCCGATCCTTGTACGTTTGATTGCGTTGACTGTGGCGCTTTCACCAGCAGTTCCTTTTCCCCTCTGTGTTTCTGCGAGTTGGCGCCACCACCAGGCAGCAGACGTAAGAAACGACAAACGACGCAATCAATGGAGACATTGTTTCAAAGACCGAATATATTAAATGAGCAAGCAGTTACAGAAAATAACCATGCGAAGAAAATTAATGGGGGAAAAAGAGAAGCTTAGAACAGTTTCCTTTTACAGCCTATCACAAGTTTCACACGGGGGATCTGAAAGGCTAAAACGACAGTAACACAAGCACAACTGTTGGATTGTTTTAGTCTGGACAGCCTTTAAAGTTGTTCAGATTCAGCGGGCAGACAGATGTTCGTGCATCATTTAACGCAAAGGTATGATGTGGCATTCAGCCCGCTTTGTTCTGACTTTTAACTGAGTCCCATTCGTTTCCACACCGCACTTTCAGTTTTTAGGTGCACATTTCTAAACAGCGGTCAGTTTTTCTTTTCTGTTTTTTTTTTATTTGTACATTTTTGTTGTACAGGTTTATACTTTAGTGCCATTCTCTTTCTATTGTATTAGTGTTTTTATCATATTCCTTCAGCAGCTGGAAAGGTGGCCGCCCTCCCTGAGCTTGGTCCTGCTCGAGGTTTCTTCCTGTTAAAAAAAACTCTTGCCAAGAAGGGTTGCACGATTCTTGGGGGGGGGGCTCTAATACCGCGGGGTCTTACCTAATAGTATAAACCACATTCAGGGGACTATTGTTACTAATTGGCTCTATATAAATGAACTTGAATTGTTAGCTTTACAGTTGGCTGTGGTGTGCAGCTATGTAATGTTAATGTAATATAAAATCTTTAATCCCTGAGAGAACATAGAAAAAATGTATTAAATTTACTGAGAAGCAGGAAACATTACATTTTAAATTAAGGAATGCATCAACTTTCTTTCTGTGTTTTAACGAGGTTATCGAGCACTTTCTTTTCTTTTCTTTTTTTAAAACATTTGTTGGCATTTTATTTATTTATTTATTTTTAAATTTCTAATTTAAATTTATTTATTTTTTCACAAATCATGGTCACAATACATAATGAAAACGTTGCCATTATACAAAAAAAGAGAGAGAGAGAGAGAAATTGAGCACTTTCGTGACATAATAAAATAAAACAACTCATGACACAAATAAATACTCTTCATTTGCTTTATAATACACTCTGCTGGCACACATGGAAATTATATACAACCTGGCCAAACAATCAGACAATATGCTGTTTGTTACGGCTCTCTTTACTGGCGTTTCTGTTATTCTTTCGTTTATCTGAGCATAACAACACAAACTCCTCTCTGTATAATGCAGCGCAGTCCATTGTCGCCATAAGTCTTTTGAAATGACCACAGAGTTTATTCAGTGCTTTTCCCAAGTTGATTTCATTCATTCATTTAGCAGCATATGGGAACGTAAAGACACACTTGTACCGAGTTTGTGTAATATGAAGAATAAACTATCCTGAACACAATTGTTCATTAAAACAAATGTGAGCGCTTGCCTTACCTGCCTTGATTTCAGCACCATCAAGAGTTGTTTTATTTATGCATTCATTCATTCATTCATTCATTCATTCATTCATTCATTCATTTCCATAAGCCCTATGCATCTTGCCAGTTCAAGCCATCCGAGCAGCATGCTCCTAAAATGTTTTCCTGCTGATATAAAAAATCTTCCATCTGGAGATGCATTAAGCATGTCTTTCATTCGGTGTTCACTCTGTGGGCTCAGTGGCTTTTTGGGGGCAAATCCAATTAACCAATTTGTCAGGTGCATGATCAAAGTCAGAAGCAGCGGAGGGAAAGGTTTATTTAAGGAGGTGTCATAGATTTGGTCAGTCAATACGTACTTTTTTTTCAGTTCCAGCTTCCTGCTTTCCTGTGACCGTCTTGGGAAAATCCGATATGACTCCGTGTGATTTAGAATGCTGTGTGCGCACACGCCAAGCATCTAATTGCTTTTTTAATGGTCTGCTCTGCGGGGAAATGGTTGTTTGGCAGTTGCGCACCACAGAGAAGGACCATTGTGCCAAAGCCTGTCATTATTTCTTTTCCACAGGCTCGCGCCTCCACCCTTCCCCTATGACAGCTGACTCTGAGTTTGGTTTGGTAATGTTCATAGATTTTTGAAATCAGAGGAGAGTGTCCAAGTGTCGCAAACAAGGCGCAGATTGTTTTAAAAAAAGAAAAAGTCAAATCAATTTGTTTCATGCGAAAGTGTTCCAATTTTGAGATAGATTTAAATGTCACACAATTTCTCCCTTTACTTATTCAAATGCACATCTCCTCCATTGGTTAGATTTGATGAGGGTGTGGTCTCACTTAAGAGCAGTTGACATAGCCCTCACTGGCAATGGGCTTTAACAAGGATGCGGTCTGTGTAGGAACAGAGAAAAAGTGTTCCGAGGGGGAAAAAAGCAAGAATCAGAAGGTTTGAAATGTTTTGAGTTGGTGCGATGTGCTCTCCGGAGCGCTTCCGATCAGCGTGGAGCATAAGGAGTGAGCAGAACCGGTGTTCTCTTCTGTTCACAGCAGCAACCAGTAGATTCTGAGCATCAGGTGAACATTTCATATAGTAGCTGTAGCCTGCTTCTTCTTCTTTTACCCCGGGCTTCTATACACTCCACTTTAACCACAGGGCAGATGGGACGCAGAAAAACAACTATGACCAAAGAATCCGCGCCCTGACGCGCTCCGATGCGTGCATGCTGGACCGGTGAGTGTGTGGACTAGTATGAAGCGCCATGGCTTGGTGTGACCGCGGGGTTCAAACGCTGTTGGCCACTGTGGGGGCTTTCGCTGCCTTTAGCCTGATGACCATCGCCATCGGCACGGACTACTGGCTCTATTCTCGGGCATACATCTGCAACGGCACTAATGCCACCACAGACGAGACACAACCACAACCCAAAAGTAAGAAGGGCGATCTCACCCACTCTGGGCTGTGGAGAATCTGCTGTATCGAGGGTAAGCTCTGCTCACTTTGTGGATTTAACTGTGCTCATGTTTGACAAAAACACGCCGGGTTTCTAGTGAAATGTTGTTAAAAATATAGCACATTTTATTCTCCTAGGAACTATTTTTTGGGGGGGGGTTTTTCCGTATGAACCTTTTGCTTCCCAGTGTGTACAATCAGTCTCAGTCTGAGCGCACAAAAGACGCCTTCCCTTTACGCATGCCAAGTGTCTCTTTCTGGAGATGGGCGCACAATGAGAAAGAGATCACACACGCGGAACAACTTTCAGGTGATAAAGAATGAGACAGAAAAAACAAATATGCACACATTTACAGATTTGAGGGGCATAAAAACGGGAAAGAAACCGGCGTTGCCCCGCTGTACATGCTCTTCTCGAGCTGTCTGCCAACTGTTACATCTCATTGTTCAAGCGCAGGCCCACACAGTCAACTCGGCTGAATAGTCTGCAAACGAATATGATGCCAAGACGGCGCGTCTGAGCCCATTCACTTTTAAGCTGGCAGGAAATGTGCGCGCTATCAGTCTACTTTCATTCATGTCTTCATTGTATCCGTTGCTGTTGCTTGGCAACATCCCTGAAATTGCTATGGAAACATGCCCGGTGATTTAAAAATAGATGACTCTGAGTTCACGTCATGTCCGAGCAAAAAAAGAAAAAAAACTTATTTGTTGTTATAGAGCATCAGGTAAACAATATGTTTTTCACAAGCTCAACCTTCCCGAATGTGTTTTGAGGGGTTTCTTTTTTTTTTCTCCTCCCCTGCTCCCCCTTTTTCTGATTACATGTTCGATAAGGAGGTGCGCTGGCAGTGACGTCTTATTTCGGAGGCAGACAGGCACTCATTCATTGACCAATCTTCCTTCCGACCACCTCTTGACTTCTTGCCTCAGAGAGTGGCTTCAACTGATCGATTTGCTTATGGCACAGACGTCTGTTATGACGCAGTGATTGATAGAAGACAGTTTGAAGCAAAACGAGCAGAAAAATAAATAAAACACAGAAGAATAAATGACAAAGGGGGCTACACCTGATCTTAGCGTTCCCCCACCTTCCGAATCCCACTTTAACAACTGTTTATATATATTGGATTTCATTCTATATAGAAGTACAGGATACATCTCCTGGTGTATGTTTTTCTTTTCTTGACTTTTTTTTTTTTTGAGGACACTTGTATCAGAAAAAAAGAAAACACAGTTCTGTATACAATGCCTGTGCAGCCTATGTAAAATCAGCTGGTGTCAGAATCAGTGCTTTTCCATTTCTGCAGTTCTGTTGATTATGAGCCTGTTTTGAATCACATTTCCTGGAGCTAATGTCATCAGAGGCCACATATCGGGAAGGATTGAGTTGTCGTCATTGATTTGACTGTTCTGGGTGAAGGTGGACGGCTCGGAGAGGAGAACATCCTCGTTTGTTACGAGTAGATAGTTTCACTTCTGTGCCTCTGCCTAAAACTATAAGCTGGAGGCTCTGTTGTCATGGAGACTCATAAGTGTAGAGGAGAACACAAGCGAGGAAGTTCCCCCCCCCCCATTACTCCAACCACAAATGTACACACACCCCTCTGGCCATAAAGACATACAGACTGGGTTATTGACGGGGACGCCTCTGTGTGTATCACAGCTTCTGGAGAAAACATCATCACATTTTGCTGAACAGATTACAGCAACAGCATGTCTTTCTCTCAGTCACATCAAATCTCTGGAACACAGCAGCTGTTAAGCCCCATTTTTTTTCCTTCCCAGAATCCAGTGATGAATGTGTTTAACATTTCTGGACACACACTTTCTTTTCTTTTTTTTTTTTTTTACCTCCTCTCTCCTCTCTCTCTCTGTCTCAGCAGGCCTGAATGACAATTAAGGAGTAGGCAGGAATATATAAAATGAGTCTACTTTATCGGAAGGTCATTATTTCCCTCCTCTGTGGAGTCTTTTGCATTTCACAGCCGCTGTTTTGACTT